TGGGACATGGCTTAATGGAGTGGACATACACATAGCTAAACATATTCGGATAGGAATATGTACACTATTCTAGGCTATATGGAACACTAGGAATGATATGATTTTTAATGGGCCAACATTCACTAATTTTTTGCAGGTTATCTACAGAGCTACAACTTGGATTCGTGTGTAGTCGTTACTCACTCATGCGAACTTCAGGGAGCTTTTGGTTATTGGGTGCAACCTCTGGGAGACAGTAGCACGGGCTATCTTCAGCCGATTTGGCTGGCGAGCTAATAATAGGCTAGTGTGTAGGCATCATAGCTTGTGTTTAATCGCCGGATGTGACACTTTTCGGTTCTATATCGCCGGAGTGGCGCTTTTTAGATTTATTTTCTTTTGACTTCTGCTTAGTATGACCTTTCATAAATCAACGTATACATGTACGTTTCCCAACTTCTACATGCGGCCCATTTACTTACTTTTTAAAAAAAAATACTTACTTTTGTAAGGAGGAAAAATTGGTGCGGGAATTGAGAATCGGTAACCACATAGGACTACTAGTATGATGTATGCCAACTGCTACCACTTTTTTTTCTTGTTCTACATCAAATGTGACTCTAAAAACAGACTGCTCCTTGTTTTGTTTTCAGGTTTTGTTTGTCCAGTTTTCTGCCGCTTTACCTTTCTCTTTCTTTTTTTATTTTCGGTTCATTTTTCCCATTCTTGAACTTTTTTGAAGTGCTAAACTATTCCTCACTTTGTGAAATTTCAAACCTTAAACATTTTCTTAAATTTACGAACTTTTTTACAAATTAGTAAACTTTTTTGAATCCGTGAACTTTTTCTCACTATTTATTTTCAATTTTTTATGTTCATTTTTTTCATTTTTTGTTTCTTTTACTCGCGGTTTAAATATTTGCATTTTATAAAATTGTACAGAAATTTAAAAAACGTTTGTTGTCTTCCAAAGTTCCTCAACATGTGAAAAAATGAATAATTTTTTAAATGGAGCGAACAATGTTATCAACATGAACATTTTTTGAATTTTCAAAAAAAAATGGGGAATATTAAAAACTTGGATTTCAAAAAGACAGAAAAATACGAAGAAAAAAATGAAACCAGCTTTTCGAATTTCACCTAACATTTCTTGTATATGTGTAGAAATTTCTTGAAAATAGGAATGTTTTAGAAATTCCAAACATATTCAAGAAATGGAGGTGGTATTTCAAGAAATGTTCATAGATTTAAAAAATATTCCAGTTTTCAATAAAATTCTACACAAATACAAGAAATGTTCGGTGAAATTAAAAAAATAGGTTTCAAATTTGGTTCATATGTTTCTGGTTTTTTAAGTCCAAATTTGTTAGTGCTTTAAAAAATGTGCAAAATTTTCAAAAAATGTTCATGTTCAAAAATGTATTTGCTCTTTTTAAAACATGTTTGTATTTTGAAATTATGAGGAACATCGAAAGACATGGACAGTTTTTCAAAATTTTATTTTTTTTGCAAATGTGAATATTTGTATTTTATGAACAAATTTTGAAAAAGAAATGTTTTAAATTTTAAATAATTATTTTAATGTGTGGGTATGTTCTGAAAAGGGAAGAATGAAAAACATGAAAAACAAATAGAATAAAAGAAAAATAAATAGGTGGGAAAAGGCCAGTTCGACAATGAGTCGGCCCAGCGAAACCAGGGGCTTCCATCAATTGAAGAAGAACACGAAAAAAATACGTAAACTAGCATGAGTGCTTAAATGTCCTAGTTGGTTAGTGTGGTTCTTGAAAGAAATATGCCCTAGAGGCAATAATAAAGTTGTTATTTGTATTTCTTTATATCATGATAAATGTTTATTATTCATGCTAGAATTGTATTAACCGGAAACTTAGTACATGTGTGAATACATAGACAAACAGAGTGTCACTAGTATGCCTCTACTTGACTAGCTCATTGAATCAATGATGGTTATGTTTCCTAACCATAGACATGAGTTGTCACTTGATTAACGGGATCACATCATTAGAGAATGATGTGATTGACTTGACCCATCCGTTAGCTTAGCACGATGATCGTTTAGTTTGTTGCTATTGCTTTTTCCATAACTTATACATGTTCCTTATGACTATGAGATCATGCAACTCCCGAATACCGGAGGAACACTTAGTGTGCTATCAAACGTCACAATGTAACTGGGTAACTATAAAGATGCTCTATAGGTGTCTCCAATGGTGTTTGTTGAGTTGGCATAGATCGAGATTAGGGTTTGTCACTCCGCGTATCAGAGAGGTATCTCTGGGCCCTCTCGGTAATGCACATCACTATAAACCTTGCAAGCAATGTAACTAATGAGTTAGTTATGGGATGATGCCTTA